ATATGCTGCTTTATCACGAGTACATGAGCATTCTTCTATTTGTTTCATTGTTAACATCAATCCCTGAAATACTAATTCTCCCGAGTACGTAACGGATTATGAATGAATCTCTTGGGATGTATTTATAAGGCACTTTTAAATTTTATTTAGCCTTACATTCTTGCCCATAAATAAAATAAAATATTCCATTTGCCTGTAAATAATAATAAGCCATAGAAACCAAAACGCAAACTTAATTTGACAAAAGACATCTTAACTGTACAAGAAACAATTAGAGAGCTGAGCAGATCTGCCAGTATAACTTGAATCTAACGAAACAACATTCTTCCCCAACAAAGAATGGTTTTAGCAGCTTGTTGTCATTTGCTGCTTTGGTTGTACCTGACCAGCTGGACTACTGGCCATGTAAAAATCTGTACAGAAGTTTAGATTTATTGTTAAAGAAGCTAGACTTACCCCCTTTTACGTTTATCTACACCACTTCTCAAAGATTGATGAGAATACCAGGCACAGGCAATGACCTACCACGAATAAAGAGGTTCTTGTAGGAACAGTCATGCAGCATTTCATCGGAGCATTTGATTAGGGGTGGAAGGGAAAGGATGCAGTATGGTTAGCAAAAACTTCATTAGAAGAAGGACGTGTAAAACGCAAGTATGTTTTTGGAAAATAAAGTGCTCCTTTCACTCCCCAAAAAGAGAGTTGCAACCACCAAACACGAGTGCTCTGTTAGACCATCTCAGACTGCATAATGCGACAAGTTCCAGTGGAGCCATACCTGCACACACCAGGACACACAGCTGCAGTAATTCAGACCAGTCAATGTATCCTGTGAGCTCAGTAGGTCACAAAACTGAAAAATCACTGAACATTTCCTGTCATGGCTGTGGCACACGGATACAGTAGGTGTTTACCACAGCTCTACTGGCGTATGAGTGGCCCAGTAAAGAAAAAGGCTTCTTAAGGATCAGATTTGGATATTAAACCACCTTTCTCCCTCAGCAAAATTATCCATTCTATTTTACTTTTTCCTTTAGATAACGCAAAAAATAAATGCATAAGAAAAAGAACAGAGAAAGCCTTCTGCTCATTAAAAACTCAGCAAGCAATTTTGGAAGCTGCCTGGTTACTTGAAACTTGAAACAGGGATACAATCAACATCATTAAGGAAATGCCTGCATTTCCCAGACTCTTTTCTTTTTGGATATGACATATGTAACGTGTATAAATATTCCGTAGCCAAATACTTGAAGCAGACATTTGAGACTTTTGCCTCTAAAAAATCCCAAAACTACAAAAAAACACCAAAAACATCTTGTCAGGATTGCTAAATCTTGCAGAAAGAAAATGTAAATGACCTCTTCCATTTCTTGCGTGATTTTCTTTCTCTTTTTTTTTTTTTTTTTCCCCTGTGGCATAAAGGCAGCAAATAAGAAGTCATGCTCATACAGAGATATTAAAAGCTTCCCAGACAACATTCACAACAAACTTCTAAAATCAGACAACATTCAAACGCAATACAGATCAATCATCAGTAAACAAAAATCAGAGCGAAGAACTCGAAGGTTGTTAGTGTGATGCTTGTGTGCAGCATCCTCGCCACAGTAGTTTTCCCACCAGTAACAGGTCAGTAAAGGAAAGTGAAATTTACAGCCAAAACACAATCTCTGCAACATTAACATAGACACAATCTGAAAAAGTATCATGAAAAGGTATTTTGAACATGAAAAGATAAAACTGAAGACCAATGAAGAGAACTAAAATCTCTGTAGCCATTACGGTGAAAACAAAAGGACATATTTAAAACAAAAGAACCCACAAAACCCAACAAGTTCCAGTGTCCCAGCAAGGTTTCAAGCTTTGGGTCCTGTCTCAGGAGCTGCTAATAGCTGCTTGCATGGACAAGGAATGTGTTTCAAACAGCCACTGTGACACAGTATTTATTTTCCACACAGGTAAAAATGACAAAGATAAATACGTAAGCTACCTAAAAAGCAGGAGCGTGTGCATGGAGCTGTAGCACTGCTGAGCCATAGGCTGTGGGCTGGCAGTGCCACACAGCCCCACGTCAGCAAGGCGGTGGCTGCCAGAGGCTGAATATGCAGTGTGTGTTTGGATGTGTTAGGTAAGTTTTGGTCACGTTGTAAGGCAAAAAGCAGGAAGAAGGCAAGCAATAGCAAGACATTCACAAAGGATGTTCTCTGTAGCAGAGTATTTTCTACTAAAATGAATCCCAGTTTTCCCCAAACCAGGCAGTTTTACTCAGTACTACACACTATTCATTGGAATCTTATCAATGATTGGAAAACTGCTCCCCCTTCTCCCCACTCATTAAGCCCCATTAGGCGGTCTGTACTGCTCTTGCTACTTGTTGAGGAACTGCATCGCCTCAGAGTCCCTGAGAGTTCCTCACACCTGCCTGATCGGAGGAATCACATTAAAGCTACACCCTTTGTAAACTGCAGAGCACAAGAAGTCAAAGAGGAAGAGCTGCGGTCGCACTCTTCCACTGCAGTCTCCTCATGGAGCCTTACCAAGAAAGATCACTTGTCCTTGTCCTAGGCTATCTGGCTAAAATCCTTTTCATTACCAAGGAGAGCTTTTGCACAATGTCTTAGTATTACAGAAACTAATTTAAAAACAATAAACAACCCTTTTAAACAATGTCTGATAACCACTCACCAAAATGAGGTACTACACTCCAAAATCTCATACAGTTAGGTAATGGTTGCTACATGTTTGAGAACAGTCAGTTGAAGTGCTATACATTCAGAGGCAATTTAAGATGTTTTACTGGTATTTTTTGTACTCTAACGACTGCAGATACACAACTGTATTTAGAAAAGCTGAAAACCAACTCACTATATGGTGAGAGATAATGAGTTAAAATTAAAGGTTGCTACTGGCTTGCTAGCCCATCCCCCTTTAGCTAATCTGTCATGTAATGAAGAGAAGCACCTAGCATAGGACAGCTAGCTGCCGGCTCACTTACAGCGAGCTGATTAAGAATGTTCAACCAACAGCAGACTGCAGACCTTTCCAACGAAAATAAATAGACTGTATGCAAATGTGTTTGTCACTTTGACAGCATGTCTCAATTAAAGCATCTCGCTGCTGTTGGTAGGCTCTCTCACTGCAGTGCTATGGACGAGGCTTACTGCATTACTGATACACAGGGCTTGACCCTAATCCGCATGCATGCATTTTAAAAAAGTCTGCCTTTGCCATATATACCAGCATAATACTAGCAGACATAGAAAGCAAGCGACAATGAGAAAAAAGCCTCTTTCATCCTCTTCAGTTTATAAGAACTGTGAATGCACAAACAGCCCTTATTTCAGAGTTCTTGTGGCTTTTTAATTGTTCCCACCTACAGTATTCTAGACAGAGTTAAAAGTGACGCTAAAATCTCTCCCTTTAATCACTAGTTAGAAGCCATCTTCCATTTAAGCAGTAAATGCTGCTTTTTTTCTCCCAAAAGCCTTAATTTGTATTTCATAAACCTGACCATCTTTGCCTTTTGAAACAAAGTATGATTTAATTTTCAGTTTGGCATAGGGCTATTGGGAAAAAAGGACTTGCAAAAGGACAAAGGCTGTAAGTGAGACAGCCGTACAGCTGTGAAGCTGGCTGATTTTTTGGAAAGCAGCGTTTGTAACGTAATGTCAGCAGCAGGCATTCAGCAAGCGAGTCGTTCACCGCAGCCAGAGGTTCTCTAAAGCTTGCGTGCTTTTCCTTTTGACACACAGAAAGCGACCATTCAAAAATCTCATGAATTTAAATTCACAGTTTGCATTTGATTATTCATTTCATTAATCACTAAAAAGCTTGAACCATCCATCTTTCATAAAATCCCTATCTGGATTTTTGGCTGTGTTAAATGAATTGAGATCGCTACGTCTCTCCAGTAGTCCCAGTCCTTCTCAGCTGTATTGGCACAGAAAGTAAGCGACAAATAAATTGCTACTGCAAACATTTAACTGAAAGAGAATCTGTTTTTGAAAAAAAAAAAAAAGCCCCCAAGAAATTACATTTAGTGCTCCAGAAAAAGTTCTGAAAGAAACAAATCAGATTCTAAAATGAAACCGGCAACATTGCTCTGAGCAATGATTGTATCTTAGGTATTCCTGCCTAGTACCTACCCAGGCAGTGCAGTTTCTATTAATAAATACTTATCTGAAAGTCTGGTTTGCTTCACATTTTATAATTATCATCCATTTTATAATTTTTTAAAGGCACATTATGGTTCCTAAACTAACTTCCATTTTTTTTATCATGATTAGATACATGCACGATACATACAGAGAAAGAAAATAATTGAAATAAAATAATGTTACTTTTGAGTCAAGCAGCACCTAATAGGGGAACACTGGCAAACTGGTAGTAAATATTGTATGTTTTTCCATGATAATCACAGCAAATTCAACATTTTCTAAATAATTAGCTCTTAAAAACACACTCACTCTTCTGCAAACATATTGAAATAAATATTTTCAGAGTAACTAATGCGCATATCTCAGTTGTCAATGCTGAAATAGAGCACATAAATAAGCTATTAATTGATTTTTTCATCTTAGTTCACCACCTTTAATTTTCAAAGAGTGCTAAAATGCTTTAATAGTTGGATGTTCCATATTGACACTAATGATCTGTCTGGATAACAGAGATCATTTTAAATTATACATACTCACTCCTGGGGGCTGTAGTACTTTGCATGCTAAAACTGCAAAATATCTTATAAAATTGCTACAATCATTTTACTTTTGTTTTCCCCTAAATTGACATAGGATTTATTTTCCTTAAAACCATCATATGAACAAAAGGAATGCATGAGCCACAGACAACAGGTTTTTAAAATCCCATATAACAGAAATTAATGTATAACAGCACAACCCAGTCACAAAAAAAACCCAAAAACAACCTGCATATTTGAGCTTTCTCTGAACTACTTTTGCTCTTTCCTGTGTCACACAACTTAAAATCCTAACACCAACACGTACCTGACCAAAATGTACTGTGATTGGTCTTCTGTCCTCTCTTAATTTAGTGTCTTTCTTTTCAACCAATGGAGAAGGTGCTGGTCCTGGTAGAGACTGCTCTGGTGCTGCAGAACATCCATTCTCAGCTACGTCCTGTGTGGAAGAAAAGGTGACTAGCATGGCCAAAAGCATTCCTGATTAATAGTAAGAAGCACAAAGAGGAACACTAGAAGATAATGTTGAGTACTCACTCATATGTTTGCAAGAAGAAAACAAAGTACGGAAAAGTAAACCTCATTATAATAAAACATTTCACTGCATTCTGTCAATCAAAGGTATTGTAAACAACCACCCTGTCCTTCAAATACCAATGCTGCATGCAAATACATTCAACAGAATGTCTGACTTAAACATGAAAAAGCTAGAAAATCTGAGAACAAAACATAGCTCAAAATTTTCATTCTGTGAACAAAGTCAACAGAATCCCAGGAACAGGGCTGTTCCATTTGTTGACTGTTTGCTGTGGGGTTTTTCTTGCAAATGAAAACAGTAATTCTACTTACCTGCTTCACAGAATGACCTTTAATAGAACAATTACTTGTGGAAGTTGCAAGGAGAGATCAAACTCACAGCTTAGTTAACTTTGTATCTCATCTTTGAGTCTGTGCATACTGAGTATGCCTGCAGGAGATTATATAAAGCAAACTGCTGCATAGCAGGATGCTTTTTTGTTTTGTTTTGCTTTTGAGGTTACTCCTCATCTTCAGAAGTAAAGTGACCCATCAGTCTAGGTTACAAGACTTGGCAAGTGTACGGATGGTGTGCCTAACACAGGTTTTGAAAAAGACAAAGGCATGCAGACAGAAAGAATCAGAAAAGGAGAAAAGAGTTTGAAAATCAGTTGAGAAACAGTCTGTAACGCAGTGGGCCCCAAACCTTAAATCTCTTTGCAACAATGCTCTGCTCTTGCAATGCTTGGTAAATATAGAGAGAAACCTGCACACACTGTAGCTCTGCAAGACTGACCTAAGGTTGGCTGCTGACACACACTGCTTTGATTCACTGACCTTTGACATGCCCCCTCAAGTTTCCGTCTTGCTAAGGTACAATAATGAGACATGTAAGCTGATGGCCAATTAGAAATGGTTCCTTTGGACACAGACTGACCTAATGTGTTTAGGTCAAATGAAACAAAAAGCTGGATGGACTTTCTAAGGGGCTTTGTCTGCTCCACAGAGAAGCTCAGAGACCTTTTTAGATCCAGCCGGTAGAGCAGTGGTTCACCACTATGGGCATAAGGATCATGGGGAAATTAACAACTTCTTAAGGTCAAACTAGAGAGAAAAACTTTTTCCTCCCCTCCCCCCCCCCCCACCAGCACAATGCTACCTTGTCTTTGTAAAATACATCCACGTACACCGCATTAGTAACAAAGCCAGAAGACAACTCAACGATGAGAAATGTAAGTTTCTGTCAAATTCATACTTCTGCTCCAAAACTTCACCAAACTAGCCAGGGGTCTGGTCAGTTTTGGAATCACATCACCTGTGGCAGCAACACAACTGATCTGAAACGTTACACAATTAAAGAAAAGTTCTAATGCAGCCTAGCCACACTAAAGGTGCACCAAGCCAAGCTCCAGGCCTTTTGTGCACACACTGCTCACACGTCCAACACATCTGCTGAACTGCCCTGCAGCTCTAACCAAGGCAACAGACAGCTGGGAACCAATGAGGAGAACAAAGCAGCACCCAGGACAGGCATTCCAGAAAAATTTAAAGTAGATGCAAAAGATGGACACGCATGCAGTGGGAAAGGAAAGAGAAGATGTAGACAGACCAAAGCAAAATCCCCTAAGGTGTACAACGATCACTGCAAGTCCCTGCTGCTTTTACTTCTGTACTTCTCTGATGATATAACTGCGTACAAACGATTATATTTTCCTAAAACATATTTACACTGTCCTCAAAAATATATAATTCAATTTAAGTCCTTCAAAGATCTCTGTGACAGGCCTTCAGTCCACTATCAGACTGAATACAGCTACTCAGAGTTCTGTCAGTGCAGAGCACAAGAGTTCAGGACGGAGACAGGAACCACAAACAGGAAATCAGGAGACACCAACTCTGAAATTCGGTAAAATGTCCACTGCTAAAAACCGTGCTTGTGAGCAGAAATGACTGACGAATTGCAGTGGAACACAGTGCAGAAAGGCCTTGAAAATGCACCTTTCCTGATAAGAAAAGCAGAAAAGAAAAAAAGAAAGAAAAGCAGAGTAACATCTGCATGCCACCTGAGGGAGCAAATTTCCAGCCGGAATGCTGACCCGTGTTTCCATACCGCTTTTGAGATCAGTGTTGGGACTTCATCTGTGCTGTGTAAACGTATCTGCACGGTTGGAGCCTGCAAGCAGTTCTTTGCACTGCCATGCACCATTCTGTGCGGATGATGTCCTACGTCTGACTGCTCAGTTCTGATACATCCCCAGCATGGGATTTTGTATGAGCCAGTAAGACATTCCAGAAATAGCTTAAGTCATCGATCATTCAAGATAACAAAAAGCCTGAGCCCTCTCTCCCAGAATAGATGGCAAAAAAAAAACACCAAACAAACAAAAAAATCCGATGATAAAGTTATTCATTACTTTAAAAACTCCAGAAATACAAAAACCTAACAACGCCTTTTTTAAAAAAAAGAAAGTACAATTTAAGAATGTTGTTAAAACAAAAAAGACCTCTTACTTCAGGAACAGAATATATTTTATGAATTACTGGATAAGGACGATCACACTGCAGTTAACTCAGTATATAAATGGCGCTTCCCCTAACAACCAACTGTCCAGGGGCAGCCTCTGCTACCTATTTATTTTAAAGGTGGAACTTCAGAGCAGAAGCAAGATATAACTAGGCATATGTACTTTAAGCTGAATAAGGTTTTCATCTGCTTAAAAATGCATTATTAATTTTTCTAGGGATCTGATATAATGGAATACAAATACTGTCTATTAGAAGCACAAGCAGCACGTGCCAGAACATCCTTGGGTTATTTTATAAACCTCTAAATGAGATGTTTCCAGCAGCACTGATAATAAAGCACTGACAACAGCCCATTGATAACAGACATTAACTAGAGCCACGCGGGGCTCTAGTAAGTAAAATAATGTTGAATACATTAATGCCAAGTGCCCTACCATTTATATAAATTGTCTTATCCATAAGCTTTCAGTGAGTTACATTCTCCTTACTGAAAGTTGAGGATGGTACCATTCGCATTCCTCCTTCTTCCTAATTCTGTGTAGTTAAGCTTCAAACAAGCCAATAACAGAGTGACTTGACCACCATGGTCCATTTGTAAAACAGAAATAGCGGCCTTTACAAAAGGGAAAAAAGAAAAAAAAAGCAAGAAAGAAAGAAAGAAAGAAAAAGAGAAAGAAGAAAAAACTTCTGTAGCAGATATAAAATAAAGCTACCATGCTGTATCTATTAACAATTATTTGCTATCACTCATAAGAATCCTCTGAAAACTATTTCTGTTGCTTTGAAATACTGTACCACAAATGAACAAGGGATGGAAATAGAACCCCATTCAATCTCTACTATCATATTAAAGAAGGACCTTACACACACCACAGTGACCTCTCAACAGGTCAATCCTGCATTTCCCATTTGCAATTCAAACCCAAGACTGGAGCAGACCAAGGGCAAAATGGGCTCTTGATTATATTTAAGAGGTCATCATTGCTATGCAGAGTTGTAGGAAGCAGACCTCTAGCTTTATTGCATTTTTAAATTCTGTCTTGTACAGAAGCTGCTCGTATTTGGCAGTGAAAACTGGAAAAAGGATGTTTATATTTGACTTTTCCTTACCAGTGGCCTTCATACTTTCTGTATTAATAATGGGAAATAATATTTTAAAATGCAGTGGACAGTAAGTTCAGTTTAAAAATAACCTCGGGTTATCTATAGAATATGAAGACTGTCACCCCAAATTTGGCAAAAATTTAGCATTTAGCAACAACAGAATTTCAAACACAAAACATCTGTGTATACTGCAAGTAAATGCATGAAAAATACAATGTGCCCCCTCATTTCCACCTAATAGACATAGAAATAGAGCAGCACAGGCATCTAGATTAAAAAAATGTAAGGTGGTGTAATTTTTGCTATTATCATCTTAAACAGGGCGGTATCTCTTTAGAAATATTTTCTCATATTACACTTCAAATGGAGAAGAGGATGGGAAAGAAAAGACCTATTGAAAAAAGAAGAGGTAGAACAGTATGTGCCAGCTACCTATAGAAGTCTTTTCAGCTCTTGTGAAAATATATATTGAGCAATCACGTTTCACTACTTCACAGAAATGCCACATAGTAAGGAAAGTGAAACAAAATCGGGCCACTTATTTGTAAATGCTGTATGTGTTTTTTAAAAGGGAATGCCTGCTGCTTGAAGGACTAGGAAGACAAAAATAATAAAACAAAGCAATGAAGGAATGTTTCTGAGCCGTTTATACAAATGTCACAGAATAACATACAATTATATTAGCATTTAAGATACAGGAAAACAATCTGGTTATTTTACACACCACCAACTGCTTCAAAATGCACACGAGAAGGGCAACCATTTTATTATTCATGAAGGTTATGTCCAGAAGAGAAACACATGGAATTATATATAAATTTCCATGCACAAGAAAACTGTTTCATGTTTCTATTTAATATTTTCATATTATGCTGTAAGTGGTCACATACAAAGTAGTAAATGTGATGAAATCGAATTAAAAGCACCTGAAGTGGTTTATCTTTCCCCAAACCTCTCGCAATCTGCTAGAGTATCTACAGACTGTGCACTGTGCACAAAGTTAATTTCATGAGTTTATAACCCTGCTACAGAAGAATCCCTTTGTATTAATATTCTGTGGACATGTTACAGCAGATTTCTACTTGTGCTATATGAGAACACTGCAGTACTATCTTAAGAAATTTAGTGAAAAAATTACTGCTAGCACAGACGAAACACACACACACACAACCCTGTTATGCAACAAATTCTAAATAAGAACTTCAGTTATATTAACAAATCAGCTATCTTGTTTTTCCAAAACTCTCTAGTAGCTCCAAAGAATAAATAGAGTATCTGAAATAAACCAAGGCAGAATCAACCATTCATCCATAAGGCATGTATGAGAACAACCATGCTTCTGGCTTAAAAGGAGCAATGAAAATTGGATAACACTTTCCTCAAACACAATTCAGTGTTCTGGGAATTGCACTGTTTATAAACAAAAACAGATTCGGAGAACAGCAAACAGTGTGAGTATTTTTTGCAGCAAAAATTCAGATCTGAACTGAATATACACACTTAATTCAATTCCTTCTGCCTAAACTTTACAGTATACAGGCATGAAGCGTGTAAATCCTTTGCCCAATAAGGGACGCTGTGCAATTTTTCCTGCAGAAATGACAACAATCTGCCATTTGGAAGGAGTTCATTGCCATTTCTGTGAGAAAGATCTCCCAGTTCATGCAAAGTCCCCTTCCACAATGCCCCAGCAAAATGGACAGGAGATGGACCGCTCCAAATAGAAAACTCTATTTTCTGGCTTTTATGGGTTTAAGTCAGTCTTAATGCATTTGAAGATGGCTGGTTTTTTGTTGTTGTTGTTGTGTTGTTTTGTTATTCTGGTCTGTGAATATTTACAACAGTGTGAAAAATCCAGGACAGCTGGTAATGCATTTTGAAGTGTGCTAACAACACTGTATCAAACAGCTTCCTATTGATCACATAATGCTTTTTGTGAGTAAGTGTTTCATACATGGTGCTTACACATTTTGAATAAGAACTTCAAGTACCTTTTGCTTCAAGCGGTTTTTCACTTCTTTTATTCCCATTTTTGCATGATCTTTTGCCTGCATGAAAAATTAATTTAAGTTAAAATCTCCCTCTTATTTCTAGCAGTAACTATGTCTGATATCAGTACATCCAGATTCACCTTCTGCAGTTACTAAAAAATGGCAAGGAAAAAATTGAAACAGGGTACTGAAACACTGAAACAAATAGAAAGCTAAAACAATAATAAAGAAATACTAAGCATACATTCAATTTTACAGAAATTTTGCTTTCTGCTTTGATGCCAGAGACATCTTTCATCTCTTCACACTCTACACCCTCTGTCCTTCCCCCTACCTATTTATCTTTGCTACTGGTTAATGATCAATACCTGCAAACTTCTTCCTGGATGTCTGTTCCATTTAGTAGAACCAATTTCATCCTACTCATTTCTCTCAGGTTGGAGAAAAGCAGGAAAAGAAAAATAGTTATCTCAATGCTTTTTGTAGCATTATTTCCTAAAACTGAGCTTACAGAAATCTGCACTTGTTTCTGTGCTGTTTTGCCTTGCACAGCAAAAGTGGCAGCCACACATGACAATCCAGTAACATGCTACTGTTTGTTAACAGAACCAAAAACACTTTCATTTAAAGAATAACTCAGTAAGTTGGACTCTAAATAAGTATGTATAAGAAATCTCTAGGGAAAATTAATTGACATTTAGAAAAGATGGAACAATTTGGAAAATGAGAGGATTCCCTTATTTCGATGAAACTGCAAGCAGAGAAACCTGAGGTAACAATGATTTCCAACTGAGTAATGATGAGATGGTAGAGCTGCTTAGCAGAGTATACAGGCACTGTTTCCCAGAAATAAATAGAATGCATCATCTATACTTACAAAAGAAATCGCAGGTTCTCATTCTCCGCTGCATTTCAATTATGTTTAAATTTCAAAATGACTTTTCTATTTAAATTTGAAATTGAAATGAATACATATTTCAAATAATTTTTTGAGCCCAAGAAAATGAATTCAAGCCTTGAGTTTCATTTGAAAGGTTAAAACAGGATTATAATTAGACTCTTATCTCAGTAGTAAACCAATGCTTGGTACTTACGAACTTATAGACAGTCTTCATGGCAGGGTTGGCTTTGGTCTTTACTGTGTTTAAAATGGCTCCACTTCCTTTCTACAATTAAAGTAACAATGGAATTAATTTTATCAAAGCTCCTTAAAGCCAATAGCAGTCCATTCTTAACATCATTCTTAACTTTAACAAAGCATTACCTATGTTTATTAGCAGAGCACAGTATTACAATCTTAAATTAAATAAAAGAGAACAAAAGTAAAAACAGATTGACTCTTTCTTTCTGTTTCACTGGAGGAAGCCTGACTCTGTTTAACAGAGTGGTTCTCAAATTAAAAGATGTCCGTTTCTTGTGGTACTAACAGGTCAACTCGTAAAACAGTATTACATGACTGCTCCACTCACCCTCAAGGTGTCCTGTACATTGTGTTAAAATCCTAACCGTGTTTAATAAAAAAGTATCCTACCAAATCAATATTGGAGGCAGAAAACTCAGTTTCAGGTAACCCTAAATATTCAATTGGAATTCTTTTCTTTTTTTTTTTTTTTAATTTTCCCTCTTCCAAGGTCTAAATGGATAAAGGGATAAAGTGAAGGCGAAAGAAATCTAAGTACTAAACAATCTTAGAGAAGTTGATTTGCACGTGATAAATATAATAAGTCATAAGGAAGCACAATGTCAGACAGAACAATCCGACGTTTTACACATCTTCCACACGCTGACCTGCTGAACAGTACCTCTCTTGATAAAAGAAATGGGCAAAACTGAAAGAATCAAATCTTATAAAACTCTCTGTTTCCCTATTTTTGTGCAAAATCATACTTTCAGACATCAGATGCACAAGCAGTCAATTTGTAAAACTGCTACATATATTTCTACAGAACAATTGATCTTTAACAAAAAATACCAAATATCAAATGTAATTACACAGATTTTCATATTAACTGTCAGCCATCCACTATAACTTTAAAATATAAATATAATTAATATAATTTATTATATAATTATAATTATAATTAATATAATTTTAAAATCATCATCCTATGTACTTATGTATAGAAATGTATGTAGGTTTTTCCATCCAACCACACTATTTTTTACATTACTCTCATAAGGTATAGCTGCTCATTCAGAATTATCAAGACAATCCTGGGGCCAGCCTTTTTGTATAAGAGACATAATTCCATTCATAACCAGAAAAAAGGCAAATGGAATGGCCAGAAACAGGTCTGTCAGGAAAGAAACTGGCCCTTCCTACTGACTCACACTCTTAAACAAGAAATATTTTACCTTTTGATACATCGTATCATATTTTAGGCACTAAAAGAGAAGTCTAAAACCAGATGCCAATTACTACTTGGAGCAGCGTTTTGCAGTGGCAATGGTCCCTTTTCTTTCCTTTTTTTTTAGTAAAGAAGGATAAAACACATTTCTTCCTCAAATAACAATAACTTATTTCTATCTGTTTCCAAAACACGTAAGAATTCCTGTGTTGATTTTAATGTACATTTTCTTTTTTCTTTTTTTTCCGACTGAAGAGCGTGTTAGTTTCTCACAGCTAAGCTCAAGTTCACCACAGCTAAACCCTACAGGAGACAAGTTAGTCTTGTTCTTGTCTACAGCCATGCAGAACTGTTCAATGGTCCAGTGAGAGTTAGAATGCCTGTTGGAAGTGTTTTGTGTTCTTACCCTTACTGTAGAGAGCCACTGGAGGTACAATTTGTCACTACCTAGACAGAACCACAAAAATAAAGTGTAACTCTCCCACACGGAAAACAAGCCAGCAATGCAGTGTTAGCACTCAGTGGTTCTAGCAGCACGAGCACTACAGGAGAGGATAATCATACTTCCATTTTACTGTAAACAGCAAAACCAAAAACTGATCAGGTATTTACATTCTTTCTTTTACTTGCAAAGAGGAATCTCTATTTTATCTGGACTTTCTTTCAGGCATTTGAGAATGCTGAGATTTTTTAAGGTTGCCAAAAGAAACATTAGGTGACTCTGGGTGAAGACAAGGGTATTTCAGCGTCTGGCACTGCAATAACTCTTCCAGTTGTACTTCAACCAAGAGGTAAAGCTGAGGTTTTCTAAGGCCAAACCGATTTCATTCAGACTGTGATAAGTGACTCAAAGTTCCTTATGCAGAAACAACAATTTAAGATTTCAGATACTACAGAGCGCTCACTGCTAATGAGATGAGTGCAAACAATGACCACGATGTCAGACAGCCAAAAACGGCAAGTCAGGGACAACCGCTGAAATCACCTGGAAGGACGTCTTGCTTACCTGCATACTCTCCCATATTTATTTCTTCTTCAAAAGCATCATTGAAGCCCTCCCCGGAGTTAAGAAGATCCAGACGGCCATCGATGAACTACAATATCAGCATTAAGAGTTTTTTCCAGAAAGATTCTATTCTACATTTGCAGCAGCAAGGACAATGTTCTCATAAAGAAGTGACCCAGAAAGGGAATGAAAATGCAAAAAAAAAAAAAAAAAGGCAAAATGTTTACCAAAACAAAATGCTATAAAAAATAACATCTGTCTGTACACCCATGTTCTCAGCCCTCTTGAGGCAGTAACATCATATTCAACAATAATATGTTTTCTGTGCAATAAAGAAAGCAATGAAAAACAACTGTACTGCAAAATACTCTCCTGCATTAGAGCAACTAGAGCAATGAAGCCAGTACCTGCTTGAAGAGCTGGAGCTGAATGGCGTTCTGAAGGAACTGCCTCATGACTGCAGAACGATGGGACACAAACGTTTCTTCACAAAAAGTGATGGGTTCGCCCTGTAGAATTCAGAGGATTAAACACCGAAGAAGCTTGTAATTAATCCATTTAAATCCACTGTCTCCATTTTATCTACCTCCTTTCCAAAATAAATAGATAAATAAAACTTGCATTAAGTTCAGCAAACTGCAGCTTATTTCCAGGTTTTAATCTGGTAACTGAGAAACAGTGGCAAATTACGCATCACCAAATTAAAACACATTCACTTACTACACATACTAATAAAGCTGGAGAAGGACCTCTCATCAGCCAAAAATAGGTAATTTTACTTAAAGTTTCCAAAATATGACACCAAGTCATCTAAATTTTGTGTACTGTGCTCATCTTTTCTTCAGTCAACCTGCACAAACAAGTCAGTAACGTCTACTCAGTTCTTTCCACAGTTCAGAAAGATTATACTTTCATATACTGAATTGACTGAAATTTCTCTTTTTCACATCCTTGTTGGCGAAAGACGGAGATTGTTTTGCAGCTCTACTTTTATCTTATTTTAATGAGTTATGTTAATGCTGAAGGCTGCTGTGCACCTGCCATAAGGGCACAAATTACCTCCACACTTAAGTCGACAAATACTCAGTGTAACAAGCAAATATATTTACTGAATTAAAACCAAGAAAGTAGCAAAGCAAGATAAAATTGCAATGATGTATAATTAATATGAAGGCTTTTTCATAACCATGTTAAAATGTATTTGTTGTTTTTTTTTTTAATCTGTTGAGAGTTTAGAATAAACATTAGACAGTAAAAAAACCTGAAAGCACACCTTTAAATGTGCACTACCACTGCATTTCCAAAAGCCTTTTGTATTAGAAACCTGGTTTGCCATTGGCCATGTGAAGGCGGGACAGCAAGGCTCGCGCAGGGCCTGCTCACAGCCCCACTCACTGCACTGTGGAGGGCGCTGGGTTTTCCCCATCACTTCTGCAGGAAGCTGTCACATGGCCACCAAACTGGCCCTGCCACTGTCACCAAACAGTGGGAGCAGTTCTGACAGTTTTTAATGCAATTTATGAGGAATGTGAAGGATTTACTTGCCTTGAAATAATCAGAATGTAGTAAGCTAATTGCTCCTGACCCAAGGAATCAACGTGAGACTACATGATGTACCTCACCCCCAGCCCCACAGCCAACAAATGCCAGAGTCACAGGGTGTTCCTAACCTGAGGAAAGGACCCATCCCAAGTGAGCACCTGAAAAATGTATGAGCCATCTTTTCCTGAAGCCCAAGAATTTCCAAGATTTTGGAGGAGAAAGCAGGTTTCTTATGTGACAACTGTCGTTTCGGAATGGTTAACCTAATTTAAAAAATACCAACCTGTCTTCGATTGACAGTAGCAGGTATTTACTTGATTAGCGTGAAAAAGGCTTCCCCAAATTCAGCTGTTGGAACACAACACAGGCTGCACAAAAACCATTTGTGGCTACAGACAAAAACTGGAGTGTGAAAACAGCAGGAACAATATCACAAAAAAAAGCATAGATTTAGCTCATGTTCAGATTGGAGCAGTAGTTCACTACAAGGAAGTTTAGCTTTCATTTAATCCTCACTTTCTAACTACTATAAAGAACACAAGCTTCGTTTCCTATAACCTGCAAAGTAACGTTTGTCCCACGGCAGAGGGATGCGAGTGCTGTGGACAGCAGGCTGTGCCCAGCAGAAGCTGTGTCCAGAGCCAGCAGCTCCTGGTGCCCAGCTGAGCCTCACTCCGCTCCGCGCAGCACTCGCACAGCAGCTGGGCAGAGCAGTATGGTGCTACCACACTTCCTTCCCCGAAGTACTAATGACTGAATTTGTTCATTAGGTTGATTAGACCTTTTGACTTCTTAAGAGCCAATTCAGGCTCAACTGCTGCTGCATGATAGGAAAAACTTTAATCATCAAGGTCAAGCGTGAGCTTTTCAGCTCAGAACGCATTAGTACCTCCCATCCTCCACGACTTCCAGAAGGGTGAACACACTGTTGCTAACCTCCATCCACAGCTTCATTACAAAATGGCAAGGTGGACAATAAGATCATTTCCTTGACAGATTGAGTTAGCTGTAAATTATGACACCTATCAGCTCTGCTTTTACTGACAGATGACATTATATGAGAGGGGATAAGCTAAGAATCACAGATATTTGATGAAATCAGTGGTCTTGTTCACAGGTAAAACAATTACAGTGACTTCTTATAAATCCGCCAACTACTAAAGTTGCTATTTCCAACAATTAGAATGTAGGCCTTGATTTATCAACACCTTGAATTTCCATTTTTCTTCTCTCCAACTAAAAGCACAGGATCATTGCAAATACTCTGAATGTGCAGACAAAGCAACCCAGCAAGGCAACTGATGTATTTGCAAAGTTAGATAAACACACCTACACATCAAGTTTAGATAACATCATTATTACTGTTTTAGAATAGAGAAGTTCACACATTTCAAAGAAACATAATCTACAACCGTAAAGCAAGAAAAGAAACTTCCAAATATAAGTTGAGAATCTTAGACTCCTAGATGTATTGAAAAAATAGGTGCCTTCACACACCTACCTTTCTATGAATATTTTATAGTCATATGGCATAACGAAGTTCATCAGAGCAGGGCTGTTTGCTCACGACCCCTAAAAAGCCGAAAAGTTTCAGCCCACTTCTGATCTGCTGCCAGCACTACTCTAAAATTGGAATTCTCTTACATTCTAAAATAATGTTTAAAACTTTAAAGAAGCAAGTGAGAAATGAAAGGAGGCCAGGACTGCTTTAAGTCGCTCCTATAGTTTCAAGAAACTCGCTGTTGCATACTTTACAAAGCCCCAGATCAAACTGAAATACAAAGTCAGTTCTGATCACCCGCGCTCCAAGAGCCCGACAGTGACATCCCAGGCTTTCCGGACAATCACTTCTCAAAAAGCACAACTTTCTTTCAGAGAAAGATGCAGGATCTCCTGCATACAGTTACTGTCAGAGAGAGAAGAACCAGACCCGAACTGCCTGAACTGCCCTCCTGCAGACAGGCCACTACCTGGCTACTGCATTAACGTTCACAATGAACAGGAAGGACTAAAACTATGTGTGACAGAGAAGATAGGCGCAGGATGGAGAAAGACTTGGAGGTGGGGACAAGGGCAAACACCAACGATTCTGAAAAGACACATGGGTGCCCAGGGAACTCACAAAGTCCAACTATTTCCACTCTAACCACAGAATGGACGACCAACGTGCACGGGACAACGGGGCTTCAAGGCCACCATGCGCCTGGAGAGCACTCAAAGATAAAAACGACAGCTCTTTGCTCTTGCACACAAAAAGATTTCAAAAAATCTAATTCTAAGGGTTAACAAAAAAGCGAATAAAGATAAAGGAGACTTTGTTTAGAAAACTGTAAAGTTACACCATGGAAGAGGCAGGCAATCTCCTGCGCATTATCATGGTCAGCATGTGGCACAGGGTAATGAATTTTGTGCTGCTGTATGCATGCCTTTAAACCACGTAGGTGCTCTTTCAAAACCTCTCTAATAAATACACAAGCCATTAAAGCTGCTCTGTATACTACCCACGAAATGAAAAAATGTGGGTAGAATTTAAAGGTGCAGAACAAGTTGACAGTCTGACAGTCTACAAGCTGTAAGTTGGTGTCAGTACTCCAGGCAGCCAGAATCCAAACATACAGCAAGAACAACGATGTGTAAGAGATCCATATATCACTGTTTCATTACCAATTAGATGTTGCAAATGACCACATCTTTTACTAAAATTGGTTATGTGGCAGGTGACAAAGTAAAGCCTGCAGAGATATTCTAGGAATAATCATTCTTAATTCCATCCAGACTTATAAGGAAACTAAAGATACGAGAACAATCTCACTGATCTGGATATATATATCAACGTCAGACACAACAGCAACCAAAGGCAAGCCACTGCTCTGCAGGCCTTTCAAGAATTGTGATTACGATGTCAAGGAAAGATTAGCTCGTCACAGCTGAAGAAGGATGATCAGTCAGCCAGCAGGATTCCATAAAGAAAATCTGAAATTGGTGATAGACACCAGAGAGGACACTGCCTCATTCAGCTTGCATTTGCAACGACAAATAACCTCCCCGTAACTAGTACCTACGTTCAGCACAAGAAAGCTCTCTGCATCTGCCTCAGTCATAATGGAATCAAGAAAGCATGGATCAAACACTCTGCATTAAGCAAATGGTACAGAGCTTTATTAGCATTTCAAGATGCTGCTCAGGAACAAAGAAATCACATGCTCAGAGATTTTACCAGACTTCTTCTGAAGAAAATAAATTAGACTCTTCAAAAAGAAACCAGTTTACCAGGTCTGATAAATTAGGATTTCTAAGAGTAATCTTGGAAAGTATTTCAAAATCATGCACTTACCCATCCAGACTGTACTCCTCAAACACTTACTGTCTCATGTAAATATCTGTTTCCATCATCAGTCCAATTCGGACTTCTTACCATTTTCCTCAATACAGTAAATAACCACTATGGGTAAAGTTACACTGAGAGTGAACTTTTTTCCTACTTAAAAAAAAAAACAAAAAACAGTATTTAAAGCATATGTACTGTAAATCTTATTAAATCATGTATTAAAAGTATCACACAAAATGGTACATTTCCCTAAACTCTCTTGCAGGTGCTGGTGAATTGAAATTCCCTTCTGACCGCTGTCATTTTTCGGCACACGGTCTGATAACTCCTGCAATTATAGCACTGAAGGACAAATAAAAGGGAGAATGACTGCAAGTCAGGCAAATCACTGACATCACTCATAACACTCAACCACATCAACCCTGCCTTCAAAATGTTGTATGTCAGAACTTTCCTTACACTGGTGCCATGGTTCATAGGCACAGGCATGGGCAGCAAGCTGCGCAGCGACAGAGGCACCACGAAGGTGTTTGGGAGCCTCCATTTCAACACGGACTCAGATGGCTCACGAGAGGCAGTGAGACGTGCCATGGCACTCCTAGTTTGGACTGCATTAAACGGGCACTCACATTTTTTCTG